AGTGCCATCTACCAAGGAGCCGTAGCACATATAGGTGTGAAGAATATGTGCAGTTCACCAGGATATAGACTCCACCATTCACAAAGATCATCATGGGACATTATTAGCTGTTGAACAGGCCTGTAAACAGAGTCTTCATATTACTGTTGCCAACAGCACTTTCTTCCATTTTTGATCCCGCCATGTCTTTTGCAGCATTTAAGGATATTCACTATGATTCATTTTTGCAGATAGGATTGCTAAAAACTACATCCATACCCCACAGTTCATCTTCAATAAGTGCTTTTCGAGCCTTTCTGCTAAGCAGTTGTTCCTCAGTGCTGTTCAAAGCACACATTTCTCAGTAATTAGTCTCTGCATCGGCCATCCCCACAACTTTCTCACCTATTACAGCCTAGGCAAGGCAACTCATGAATTCCAGCAGAGTTGCAGTTTGCAGTATAAAATCAGGATTTGTTTCTGTTGCTTTTACCTTTTGATGCAACACATTACATACATTCTTGCTGTAGCACTCAATGTGATACATGGGCGTCTTTTGTGTCAATGTACCCACTTTATTTTCCACACAACGTTCTCACTAAGAGTGACTATATCTCACATGTTGAAACTGTGCTTAATGGATGCCTTCTGGATTCTGGCTTATTACAGAAGAAGCAGGTGTTCTTGAAATGCATGCCATAGCACCTAGTATAAACTGAGTCTCATACACAGCAGACATGTGTCCCAGCATCTTCAGCTTTTTCCTGATGCTCGATGTACTTCCTCTCCAACCTTGCCAAATTCAGTTTATGGGTACACTTCTTATAGCATATAAGCTGCCACCAGGCATTATGTTTAACCATAAGGTCCTTTATTTGCCAAAGATTCAGCTACTAGCTGGTAGTTTTCATCTCCCCATTGATGCTTAAAAATGATCAAGACCAAAGTAAAAACAAGGATTTTGTAATAAATTATTTGGGGATTGTAGTTAGTTATGTTATGTAATGTATGTTATGTAACTATGTGCATACCATTTGCAGATGGATTTTAGTAATTTCTGGCTGGATGCTGATGTTGTAACCCATTGCCTCATTTAAACTCTTTTGGCATAATAAACACAGCTGAGAATTAATACTACTGAACCGCTTCTTTTTTTGCCAATGATGGCAAATCCCCTGGAAGCACTCCTTTCATTTATAGTAACTCGTAACATTAAAAGAATTAATCCAGTTCTGAGCCTTAACTGATCACACAGCACTGTCATTTGAGGGCCATAGTATAACTTTGGGAAGGCTGCTTTGCTAAGGGTATGTCTACACTACGGAATAAGGTCGAATTTATAGAAGTCGGTTTTTTAGAAATCGGTTTTATAAATTCGAGTGTGTGTGTCCCCACAGAAAATGCTCTAAGTGCATTAAGTGCATTAACTCGGCGGAGCGCTTCCACAGTACCGAGGCAAGCGTCGACTTCCGGAGCGTTGCACTGTGGGTAGCTATCCCACAGTTCCCGCAGTCTCCGCTGCCCATTGGAATTCTGGGTTGAGATCCCAATGCCTGATGGGGCTAAAACATTGTCGCGGGTGGTTCTGGGTACATATCGTCAGCCCCCCGTTCCCTCCCTCCCCCCGTGAAAGCAAGGGCAGACAATCATTTCGCGCCTTTTTTCCTGAGTTACCTGTGCAGACGCCATACCATGGCAAGCATGGAGCCCGCTCAGGTAACCGTCACCCTATGTCTCCTGGGTGCTGGCAGACGCGGTACGGCATTGCTACACAGTAGCAGCAACCCCTTGCCTTGTGGCAGCAGACGGTACAGTACGACTGGTAGCCGTCATCGTCATGTCTGAGGTGCTCCTGGTCGCCTCTGTGAGGTCGATCAGGAGCGCCTGGGCAGACATGGGCACAGGGACTAAATTTGGAGTGACTTGACCAGGTCATTCTCTTTAGTCCTGCAGTCAGTCCTATTGAACCGTCTTATGGTGAGCGGGCAGGCGATATGGACTGCTAGCAGTCGTACTGTACCATCTTCTGCCGAGCAGCCATGAGATGTGGATGGCATGCAGTCCTTCTGCACCGTCTGCTGCCAGCCAAAGATGTAAAAGATAGATGGAGTGGGTCAAAACAAGAAATAGACCAGATTTGTTTTGTACTCATTTGCCTCCTCCCCTGTCTAGGGGACTCATTCTTCTAGGTCACACTGCAGTCACTTACAGAGAAGGTGCAGCGAGGTAAATCTAGCCATGTATCAATCAGAGGCCAGGCTAACCTTCTTGCTCCAATAAGGACAATAACTTAGGTGCACCATTTCTTATTGGAACCCTCCGTGAAGTCCTGCCTGAAATACTCCTTGATGTAAAGCCACCCCCTTTGTTGATTTTAGCTCCCTGAAGCCAACCCTGTAAGCGCCCCTCCCAGCGTCAGAGCAATGGCAAACAATCGGGCATCTGAGAGTGCTGTCCAGAGCAGTCACAATGGAGCACTCTGATGGGGCTAAAACATTGTCGCGGGTGGTTCTGGGTACGTGTCGTCAGGCCCCCGTTCCCTCCCTCCCTCCGTGAAAGCAAGGGCAGACAATCATTTCGCGCCTTTTTTCCTGAGTTACCTGTGCAGACGCCATACCACAGCAAGCATGGAGCCCGCTCAGGTAACCGTCACCCTATGTCTCCTGGGTGCTGGCAGACGCGGTACGGCTTTGCTGCACAGTAGCAGCAACCCCTTGCCTTCTGGCAGCAGACGGTGCAATACGATTGGTAGTCGTCCTCATCGTGTCCGAGGTGCTCCTGGCCGCGTCGGCTGGGAGCGCCTGGGCAGACATGGGCGCAGGGACTAAATTTGGAGTGACTTGACCAGGTCATTCTCTTTAGTCCTGCAGTCAGTCCTATTGAACCGTCTTATGGTGAGCGGGCAGGCGATACGGACTGCTAGCAGTCGTACTGTACCATCTTCTGCCAGGCAGGCAAGAGATGAGGATTGCTAGCAGTCGTATTGCACCATCTTCTGCCAGGCAGGCAAGAGATGGGGATGGCTAGCAGTCGTACTGTACCATCTTCTGCCGAGCAGCCATGAGATGTGGATGGCATGCAGTCCTTCTGCACCGTCTGCTGCCAGCCAAAGATGTAAAAGATAGATGGAGTGGGTCAAAACAAGAAATAGACCAGATTTGTTTTGTACTCATTTGCCTCCTCCCCTGTCTAGGGGACTCATTCCTCTAGGTCACACTGCAGTCACTCACAGAGAAGGTGCAGCGAGGTAAATCTAGCCATGTATCAATCAGAGGCCAGGCTAACCTCCTTGTTCCAATAACAACGATAACTTAGGTGCACCATTTCTTATTGGAACCCTCCATGCAGTCCTGCCTGAAATACTCCTTGATGTACAGGCACCCCCTTTGTTGATTTTAGCTCCCTGAAGCCAACCCTGTAAGCCGTGTCGTCAGTCGCCCCTCCCTCCGTCAGAGCAACGGCAGACAATCGTTCCGCGCCTTTTTTCTGTGCGGACGCCATACCACGGCAAGCATGGAGCCCGCTCAGCTCACTTTGGCAATTAGGAGCACATTAACCACCACACGCATTATTCAGCAGTATATGCAGCACCAGAACATGGCAACGCGATACCGGGCGAGGAGGCGACGTCAGCGCGGTCCCGTGAGTGATCAGGACATGGACACAGATTTCTCAGAAAGCATGGGCCCTGACAATGCATGCATCATGGTGCTAATGGGGCAGGTTCATGCTGTGGAACGCCGATTCTGGGCTCGGGAAACAAGCACAGACTGGTGGGACCGCATAGTGTTGCAGGTCTGGGACGATTCCCAGTGGCTACGAAACTTTCGCATGCATAAGGGCACTTTCATGGAACTTTGTGACTTGCTTTCCCCTGCCCTGAAGCGCATGAATACCAAGATGAGAGCAGCCCTCACAGTTGAGAAGCGAGTGGCGATAGCCCTGTGGAAGCTTGCAACGCCAGACAGCTACCGGTCAGTTGGGAATCAATTTGGAGTGGGCAAATCTACTGTGGGGGCTGCTGTGATGCAAGTAGCCCACGCAATCAAAGATCTGCTGATATCAAGGGTAGTGACCCTGGGAAATGTGCAGGTCATAGTGGATGGCTTTGCTGCAATGGGATTCCCTAACTGTGGTGGGGCTATAGACGGAACCCATATCCCTATCTTGGCACCGGAGCACCAAGCCGCCGAGTACATAAACCGCAAGGGGTACTTTTCGATAGTGCTGCAAGCTCTGGTGGATCACAAGGGACGTTTCACCAACATCAACGTGGGATGGCCGGGAAAGGTGCATGATGCTCGCATCTTCAGGAACTCTGGTCTGTTTCAAAAGCTGCAGGAAGGGACTTTATTCCCAGACCAGAAAATAACTGTTGGGGATGTTGAAATGCCTATATGTATCCTTGGGGACCCAGCCTACCCCTTAATGCCATGGCTCATGAAGCCGTACACAGGCAGCCTGGACAGTGGTCAGAAGCTGTTCAACTACAGGCTGAGCAAGTGCAGAATGGTGGTAGAATGTGCATTTGGACGTTTAAAGGCGCGCTGGCGCAGTTTACTGACTCACTTAGACCTCAGCGAAACCAATATTCCCACTGTTATTACTGCTTGCTGTGTGCTCCACAATATCTGTGAGAGTAAGGGGGAGACGTTTATGGCAGGGTGGGAGGTTGAGGCAAATCGCCTGGCTGCTGGTTACGCGCAGCCAGACACCAGGGCGGTTAGAAGAGCACAGGAGGGCGCGGTACGCATCAGAGAAGCTTTGAAAAACAGTTTCATGACTGGCCAGGCTACGGTGTGAAAGTTCTGTTTGTTTCTCCTTGATGAACCCCCCCACCCCTTGGTTCACTCTACTTCCCTGTAAGCTAACCACCCTCCCCTCCTCCCTTTAATCATTGCTTGCAGAGCCAATAAAGTCATTGCTGCTTCACAGTCATGCATTCGTTATTCATTCATCACACAAATAGGGGGATGACTACCAAGGTATCCCAGGAGGGGTGGTGGAGGAGGGAAGGAAAATGCCACACAGCACTTTAAGCACAGCACTTTAAAAGTTTACAACTTTAAAATTTATTGAATGACAGCCTTCTTTTTTTTGGACAATCCTCTGTGGTGGAGTGGCTGGTTGGCCGGAGGCCCCCCCACCGCGTTCTTGGGCGTCTGGGTGTGGAGGCTATGGAACTTGGGGAGGAGGGCGGTTGGTTACAGAGGGGCTGCAGTGGCAGTCTGTGCTCCAGCTGCCTTTGCTGCAGCTCAACCATACACTGGAGCATACTGGTTTGGTCCTGCAGCAGCCTCAGCATTGAATCCTGCCTCCTCTCATCACGCTGCCGCCACCTTTGAGCTTCAGCCCTGTCTTCAGCCCGCCACTTACTCTCTTCAGCCCGCCACTTACTCTCTTCAGCCCTCCACCTCTCCTCCCGGTCATTTTGTGCTTTCCTGCACTCTGACATTATTTGCCTCCACGCATTCGTCTGTGCTCTGTCAGTGTGGGAGGACAGCATGAGCTCGGAGAACATTTCATCGCGAGTGCGTTTTTTTTTTCTTTCTAAGCTTCACTAGCCTCTGGGAAGGAGAAGATCCTGTGATCATTGAAACACATGCAGCTGGTGGAGAAAAAAAAAGGGACAGCGGTATTTAAAAAGACACATTTTATAAAACAGTCGCTACACTCTTTCAGGGTAAACCTTGCTGTTAACATTACATACATAGCACATGTGCTTTCGTTACAAGGTCGCATTTTGCCTCCTCCCACCGCGTGAACGGATTTTGGTTGAATGCCAGCAAACATACACTGCAATGCTTTGTTCTACAGTGATTCCCCAGTACGTGTTGCTGGCCTGGAGTGGTAAAGTGTCCTACCATGAAGGACGAAATAAGGCTGCCCTCCCCAGAAACCTTTTGCAAAGGCAGAACCGCAAATGCCAGGGCAAAGTAATCCTTTCACATGCTTGCTTTTAAACCATGTATAGCATTTTAAAAGGTACACTCACCAGAGGTCCCTTCTCCGCCTGCTGAGTCCAGGAGGCAGCCTTGGGTGGGTTCGGGGGGTACTGGCTCCAGGTCTAGGGTGAGAAACAGTTCCTGGCTGTCGGGAAAACCGGTTTCTCCGCTTGCTTGCTGTGAGCTATCTACAACCTCCTCCTCATCATCTTCTTCGTCCCCAAAACCTACTTCTGTATTGCCTCCATCTCCATTGAAGGAGTCAAACAACACGGCTGGGGTAGTGGTGGCTGAACCCCCTAAAATGGCATGCAGCTCATCATAGAAGCGGCATGTTTGGGGCTCTGACCCAGAGCGGCTGTTCGCCTCTCTGGTTTTCTGGTAGGCTTGCCTCAGCTCCTTCAGTTTCACGCGGCACTGCTTCGGGTCCCTGTTATGGCCTCTGTCCTTCATGCCCTGGGAGATTTTCAGAAAGGTTTTGGCATTTCGAAAACTGGAACGGAGTTCTGATAGCACGGATTCCTCTCCCCAAACAGCGATCAGATCCCGTACCTCCCGTTCGGTCCATGCTGGAGCTCTTTTGCGATTCTGGGACTCCATCATGGTCACCTGTGCTGATGAGCTCTGCATGGTCACCTGCAGCTTGCCACGCTGGCCAAACAGGAAATGAGATTCAAAAGTTCGCGGTTCTTTTCCTGTCTACCTGGCCAGTGCATCTGAGTTGAGAGCGCTGTCCAGAGCGGTCAGAATGGAGCACTCTGGGATAGCTCCCGGAGGCCAATACCATCGAATTGTGTCCACAGTACCCCAAATTCGAGCCGGCAACGTCGATTTAAGCGCTAATCCACTTGTCAGGGGTGGAGTAAGGAAATCGATTTTAAGAGCCCTTTAAGTCGAAATAAAGGGCTTCATTGTGTGGACGGGTGCAGGTTTAAATCGATTTAACGCTGCTAAATTCGACCTAAAGTCCTAGTGTAGACCAGGGCTAAAGGATAATTAAAATAAGTTGTTTTTTAAACATTTTCTTCAATGTGTATCTCTAGGTTTGTCATGTTTGGTACCATTGTGTTTGTGGGAGAACAGGCTTTCAAATGACACCCAACTGAATGCATTTCTAATACAATTGTATTATCAAAATTTCCACCATCTGGAGAACCTAATTGTGGGAGCTTGGGGGGGGGAGGGGGGACGACGACACACGCAGAGGGTGACACCCATTGACATTACAATTCCATAGATTTTTATGAATCAAATGAGATCTCCCTTACCTTTCTATCATTAACTTACCCATGAAATTACACATAGTCCCAGACTAATAGTCCTGGGAAGTACTGAGAGTTTCCTGGGAAGGGCTAAGCACCCTTTGCTCCTTTTGAAGTTGGTAGGTTCTGAAAATGCTCCACACACATTCCAGGATTAGGCACTGAAACAATAAAAGCAGCTGAATGCTTGTAGCATTATTCCATTTAACCTGCATCAAAATTTTGGGTGAGATATTAATCTAAATCATGCAAAATGCTGAGCACTCTCAACTCCCAGTGATTTGAAACTAGAGTTAGGTTTATCTAAATGTCCCAGGAGTCACTCGGCACCTTGTAGGATTGAGCTCAGAGTATTTAAAAAAGAAAACCTTTTTCTTTATATAAAAGCAAAGTTTTAAAATATCTCATACTAACCTGAAACACAGTAAAACACCCAAACACCCCAAGACATGATTTCCAATTCTCCAGCCCTTTGTTTCCGCTTTTATAGTGTTTCATTAGTAGCATCTAAACAGCAAAAAATTGCTTATGGCTGACTGACTTCCTCCCTTGGTGCTCATAAGTCATCACTGATTGGCTTGACTGCCTTTCATCTCTGCTAAGCTCAAATCAGAATTACTTGCTCCAAGGATGTGTTCACTTCCAGTTGTGGGCCCCACACTGCATTACAGAGCGAGAGGTATTTAATTGGCACTGGCTGCTTATATTTGCAGAATTTTGCTTGGGAAAGATGGGGCAGCACCTGGATCTGTTAGATGTTTCATTTTCTTTTACTGATAGCATTGGAGATTTTCCCTGTGGGAGTCTGAACGGCTTATTCAGTTTTGGATTTTGCATTTTTAAATGTTAGCTTGGAAAGGAAAGCTCTCTGCTCTGAGAAAACATGGGAAACATTATTTCAGAGAGAGGCAGTAAAGTCCTGTGGACAGAGCAAAGGTCTGGGAGAAGGAACACCTGAAATTTAAATCTTGATGCTGCCAGTGATTCACTCGATGGCTTTGGACAAGTCATTTAACCTCTCTATCAGCCAAATTCAGACCTAGTGAAAGTCAATGGAGCTACATCCTCTTATACCAAGTGTGAATTTGGACCTATGTCTGATTCTCCCCATCTGGAAAATAGGGATGATAATATTTGCCGCGATGTTGTAATTAGTTAATGTTTGTCCAACACTTACAAGATGCAGAGTGCAATATAAGTGATAAGTATTATATATATGCTGTACAAAAGAGATTAAAATGATTCTGGTCCCAGTCCTGTGAGATGCTGAGCATCCTCAGCTCTGGAGGAGACAAGGGGCGAGGACATAAGAGACAAGAGCAGATAAGAATGGAGTTGCACAGTTCTGGCGAGTCTTGAAGGCAGAGACAGGAATCAATCAGAGATGAGAATGCTCAGCAACTTCCAGAGCAGTCAACATTTGGAAAACAGATTTTATTAGGTTTCTCTCTTGTTTTCCTACTATTCTTTAGCAGACCTTTTACAAAAGGAGCTACTGCCAGTGCATGAACGCTGACATTTTTCAAAACCACATAGGGCATGTAGATGCACAACTCCCAATGGGAATTGCATATGTAAATCCCCTAGTTGGATCTGAAGATCTCAACCGAAAATAATATAGATTCTAGATACAATATGGCGAAGACGAGCATGACAAACCTTGATCAAAACCAGAACAGTTCTAGCAGAAACTGGTTTCAGGCAATCTTTACTTTTAGTTTTTGGTTTCCTTTTTAGAGTTTACTTCGATGACTCTCTGGTCACAGCCCCTGTGATTGGTCCCCTGTGTGAGATAATTGCTTTGCTGTGGTGCAAGTGCTGGGTGATATAGAATCACAGAATCATAGAATATCAGGGTGGGAAGGGACCTCAGGAGGTCATCTAGTCCAACCCCCTGCTCAAAGCAGGACCGATCCCCGACTAAATCACCCCAGCCAGGGCTTTGTCAAGCCTGACCTTAAAAACTTCTAGGGAAGGAGATTCCAACACCTCCCTAGGTAACACATTCCAGTGTTTCACCACCCTCCTGTGAGAAAGTTTTTCCTAATATCCAACCTAAATCTCCCTCACTGCAACTGAGACCATTACTCCTCATTCTGTCATCTGCTACCACTGAGAACAGTCTAGAGCCATCCTCTCTGGAACCCCAAATATTTTGGACACTATTTCATATACAGGCACTGAAGCTATTTTCTGGAAGAATATGGGTATGTTAGCCCTGTGGGTGTATCACTGACCTCCCACCATTAAGCCAGCTGTGACTGATGCCAAAATTCATACCTTCATTAGCGTGGGGCCATCCTGTTACAAGGGAGTGAGATAAAGAGAGACTTGCAGTTGAAGTGTGATGGAGAATATGTCCCCAATATTAAAAAAATATTTTCTGTAGTTTTCATTGCCCATGCTGATGGTAAGTGGTCCTTGTGAACCATGTTGTGCCACCTCAAAATGAAAACAGTTTCATTAAAGAGGTTTCGATGGCCCTTTCAAGATTTACACTCAATACAGTCCTGTTGCAACAACAAAGACTTCACACTACAGAGGTCAGACATCAGAGATGCACTCAAGCCACAAAATGCAGATCCTGTGATTTCAAACACACCAACATTCAGAGTTGTTCCAATGGAGGGCCTGAACAGCCAAGGAAAAGAATATACATTGAAACTTAATGAGCATTGCAAGAGTGTATATCCCAGGATGATCAGCCCCCATGGCATTTTGGTAAGCTCTGAAATAAAGATAGGGATCATATATAAATTCCAGCTCATAGAAACTTGTTTGGATTTCAAATTCTGCTCAAGTTTGGGGACATTTGGCTGCAGAGTTTTGATTCAGACTGATCTCTGTTAGAAACAGGAAATGCTGGGGACTATTAAACGTGAATTTTTACGGGAGACCAGCTCAGGTTATTGAGAGCAGGTGTTTTTGTAATTGTGATACACTGGGAAAATTCTCAGGCTCTCAAACCTATATTTCTGGGATAGCATGTAAATGGTGTATAGTGTTAGCACATTAGGCTGTAATATGGAACACATAGGGACATACCTTGGCTCAACACTTGCTATCGTGTGTGCATGGGTAGGCATTTTACATGTTTCCTCATTTCTGTTTAGTGTTTTATTTTAAAAGCGTGGGAAAGCCAGAAATAAATGTTAAGAAGCCAGGCATCCTAATCTTCAAAGTGCTTTACAAACATTAGCTAATTAAATCTCTCACATCCCAATTACACAAGTAAATAGCATTCCCTTTTTATGGATGGAATCTGAGGTTCACAATGTGGGAGCTACCCAAAGCTAAAAGGCAGCCAGTGTCAAATCTAGGGATAGTAATGCCTTGTTCTCTGACCTGTGCTCAAGTCGCTTACTCATTATACATTTATCCCACTGTATTTGTGGGTGTAGAAATTTTTTCTGGAGGGTTAAGAAACATTTAAGTGAATGATTCCTCATTGACCCCTTCCTTGCTGGTTGTCACATCTTCAATATTACAGTGGTACAGGGCAGCATTATAAACTAATGTTGCATTCATCTAGCTGGCTAAACTTTTCCACAGTTTTCCTCTCTCCCACCACCAGAAATCCTGTCTTTGTGGTCTCAAGGGTTTGAACTGAGGAGAAACACACAGGGGAGAACTCGTTTTCCCTTATTCAGAAAAATTAATGTCCTTTCAATGCTCTCCTGCCGTGCACTGGCCTTTGCACTCTGGCCTGAGGTCTTTAGCTGCTGTCGTTCATCCTGGAAGAGCTTTCCCACATGCTTTAATGTCAGGGGACTTCCTGAACATGGACAGTGGTTTCTGTATGTGTTTGTGTAGGAGTAAAGGAGCAGAGGTGCCACAGTAGGCTGGGAGAAAACAATTGCTGACGGGACAGAAGAAGCAGAGCTTGAAAGGCCTGGATCAGAGTTGGGTTCTGTGGGTGCAGAGTCCCTGACCCTCCATGGCCTGGTGTCTATACAGGTAAAGGCCATTAAAAAAATATGTGGTTGCTAAAATTGTATCTCCTGTTTTGCACATCCACGTTTTTATATGCACAAAAAAATCAGATTTGCAGGTGTACACTACATCATAGGCCCTTTTGTCCACTGCCTTTGCTTAGTAAGTGCATGCTTCCCAGATATCTTGCAAAGGAAGCTACTAATGCAAAAACATGCAGTTGGATGGCTATTTCTGACTTGACACACTGTGAATCTCATTGGCTCTGTACACTAACTGTCCGATACAGATATTTTTTCAGTTTCTGGTAGTTAAATTTAGGTAGCAGGGTTAGAAACAGGAAGTAGCAAGGAACCCAAAATCTAAAATTTTGACCCAAACTTTTCTATAGTTTGGGAGAGCTTGAGCTTATGGTTTTGATTTTGGTCCATCTTTAATGAGAAATAGTTAAATTCTATGTTCCTTTGCAAAATAATACATTCTGGGCCCCCTTCCTAATCCTCATGATTTACCCATAGTAAACAATGGATGAAAATTCTTTTTGACTGTTTATTTTATATATATATCTTAAAGTCTATATAAAATCTATTCCATCCCTGGTCAGAGCATCTTAATGGACCGTTCCCTCTCACTAGTTCTCTGTTATCTGCTGCAAGGGTGCTAAGTGCCTTCGATCTGAATCCTGTGAGCTGTGCTTCCCAGTGCACTGCAAGATCAGACCCTAAATAAGAGCCCAATAATGCAGCCACTCAGTCAGTAATTAC